CCTGGCCGGCGTGTCTGGACCTGCCCCGCAACACCGGCTGCGCACGCGGGCGGCCCCGCTCTGCTCCCCACGGCACAGGCGCAACGGCCGCGCCCCGCGCTGCTCCCCACGGCACAGACGCAACGGCCGCGCCTGAGTCACCGTCCACTCAACTGCCCGTGACAGTGAAGCTGCGGCCGGCCCTCCACGGCTGCAGCGCCCCGGGGCCCTCTGTCCCTGTGTGGGCTGGCCGCCCTCTGAGCCTCCTGACCCCTGGCCTCCTGGGCTGCTGGTCCCGCCCCTGCGGGCCCCCGCAGGCCCCAGACTCCAAAGGCCTCCGCCCCCGGCCGGCCTCCGCACACCCCCTTCCCTGTGGCGCCACGGCCTGAGGACTGTCCTGTGCCTGGACGCTGCATGGGGGCCGGCGGGACCCTGGCCAGTGATGCTCAAGTCACCGCCGTGGGTGGGCGGAGGCCTGTGCTCGCGGCCTGCACGCTGGGCTGGCCCTGATCCTCAGGGCTGGTCAGGGCTCAGGGCACCCAGCCTGGCCCGCAGTGCCCGCAGCGCGCAGCTGGCCTCCCGGCAGGGTGCCCGCAGCAGCCTGGCCGCAGGGCTCGGTCAGGAGACGCACTCCGGCTCCTCGGTGCCCATCCCCCTCCTCTGAAGAGCAGTGCCGCGGTCAGCACACAGGGCAGCGGGGCCTGGGGCCCGGCCCCCGCGGGGTTCCTCCGCCCAGCTGGGGGCCGCAGAGCTGTCACCCTGGGGCTCAGACCAAGCGAGGCGGTGCAGGACCAGCCAGGGCTGCGCTTCATGGGGGCCGGCACCCACCCGCCCCTTCGGGAGGCTGCAGCGGGCAGGGCCGCCGGTCAGACTGGACGGCGCAGCCAAGGGGCAGGGTGCGGGCGCCCTGCCGAGGGCGCTGCAGACTCAAGGGCTGCGCTCTCGTGCCGGCGTCAGACTGCAGCTGCCAGCCGCAGGCGGGCATGTCCCCCCCCCCGACCGCGTGGCCGGAGGCACCTGCCCAGCGCGGCGCGTCTCTGGGGCTCTCCACGCTTCCCACGTCCCAAGGGCACCCCGGTGCCGGCCTGAAACACGGACCCTCCTCCGCGCACCCCCACAGCGCCGGCCTGGCCTCGCCTGGGGGCCAGAACCACCAGGAGCTTGTGCTGCCCGGCCAGGGGCTTAGGGCCACCCACAGGCCGCCACGTCCACGCCCTGATCGTCCTGCTCAGCGTCCTCCACGCTCCCTGCTCACCAGGGCCCTGGCCCAGCCTGGCCTCCCGGTGGGAAATGCCCACTTCTCCCACTGCCCACCGTGCCGCCAGCTCGACGCCCCAGACCCACAGCCCGCAGGGACGCCGGGGGCCCCGGCTCGCGCCGAGGGCCGGCCCCAGGCACCCGCCAGCCCTGGCCCCAGGTGCGCCCGGAGGGGACCACAGGCCCGGACAGAGCCCTGCCGCAGCTGGACAGGAAGCCAAGGCCCCAGGCCCTAGCAGCACCCCTGCGACGCAGCCCCAAGGGGCCTCGCTGCGCTGGGTTCACCCCAGCTTCCACCTCAGGCGTCCTCACTCTGCTCGGTGTGGACACAGCAGGCTCGAGGCCCGGGCCCCCCGAGCCCGTCTTCCCTCACGCACAGCCGAGGCCACACTCTGGGCTGCTGCCCGGCCCGGGCGGCCTGCACGTACACGGCGCTGAGGCCCAGACCACCCCGCCTCAGCGGGCGGCCTGCCCGTGTACCTGTGTCCGAGTCCTTCTGCTCTCCATTGGCGCCCACGGTGAAGGGCAGCTTCCGCTTGCTCGCCCGCTCCCTCACCTCCCTGCTGCCATCGCTGCGCTCCGGCTTCGGGGTCTTACTCAGGGAAACTCTGTCCTGGAAGAGAGCGGGCGGTCAGCGCTGGCCCTGGGAGCCGAGGGCCGGAGCCCCGCAGC